ATGAATGCAAATCCGGCGAGTACTCCTGCACTGACGACAAGGAAGGCTGGAAAGTCTGCGATAAAGCCGGGCACTGGGTTGTAAGTTGATATCGTCTCTTGCTAACAAACACCTTCCAGATACACCCTCCGCTCCCTCTAGGTGCTGGGAAACCCCGGCTAGGATACGACACTGACAACTGTGGCGGTATCTAGTACGGCGGGACATGCGGTCCCAAGAGCAAGTGCTACTTCAACGAGAAGAGCAAGAGCCCTTATTGCATCTAAGGGAGCTCGAACATCGGAAATAAAAGGCTTGTCATTTCAGGGGATCCCACTCTCGGTGTCTTGCGGAGACGCTGGAGGGCCATGGCTTGTTTGAGTGTCTTGATAGTCCTTCGGCTTGGACCAGAACCCAGTCCCAGCTTTGGAGTGTCATGCAACTATTCTCATCAGCCTGGTTTGAAAATTGGCTTGGGAGGAGTTGCGAAAATGGAGAACGGACACGATGGCATAGCAATGCCCCGGAGAGTTGCGAAAGTTGGAAAATGGATGGCACTATGGCATAGCAATGCCCTGTTGGCGCGCTTGGTATCTTGGGGTCTGGGCAGAATTCCGCCGTCTCAGTCCTTATTAGTATTGAATAGATCCAATCCGCCTTTTTGATATTGAAAGTACAGCTCTATTGTTGCAGACCAAGTGGTGAAATGTTCCAGGGGTACCCACTCCCCTTGTCTCTTGCACTTCTTATTCTCAAACGTGACCAGGGATCAAGCCGCGGGCCAATTCTGATTGAAGACAATGCAGCCCCCGTTCGAGCTGGCGGCAATGCCACGATCAGAAAGGAAAACGCAATATTTTGCCACATCCTTGACATCCACACTGGAGTTTGCCGGGTCAAGATTCGGGTTGATAGCCATCATCTTGGCATAGCCCTCTCGGTTCATATTCTGCGCCAATCCCTCGGAGATGTTGGTTGTTACCATGGCACCAAGCAGCAGGGCGACGCAGTAGACACCGCGGTCACCGTAGAAGGAGGCCGTGTTCTTCGTCAGGCCCACGATGGCGTGTTTGCTCGCCGTGTATGCCGCGCCAGCGTTGAAGCCGCGGAAACTGGCGGACGAGCCAATGTTGATGACCAAACCACCCGTCCCCCCCCTTTCATCGCCATCCTGGCTGAGGAATCGATTGACAGCGGCTTTGGAACAGAGGAATGTGCCCGTCAAGTTGACGCCGAGGACACGGTCCCATGTGTATTTGGAGCATTCGCCAACGGGATCGAAGGTGTCCATGACACCCGCGTTGTTGACGAGGATATCGAGGCTACCAAAAGCCTCGACGGTGGAGTTGACAAGGGCCGCGACGGAAGCCTCGTTGGTGACGTCGACGGTGGTGATGTGAAGACGGGAGGCAGCGTCCGGGTATGTCTGCTTGAATTCGGTCTCGGTTTCGGCGAGGCGGGAGTCGTTAATGTCGCAAAGGGTGACTTTGGCGCCGGCAGCGAGATAGGCTTCGGCAATAGCTTTACCGAGCCCGCCGCCAGAGCCTGTCACGATGACTACCTTGCCTTGGAGGGGATGAGACGTCATGATGGTCTGTTTAAATTAACTTGAAGACTTGAAAATTTGATACTTTTTGTGTTCTCTTAGCCTGAAGATAAGCATTTCCAGTTCTCTCCATGATCTGGTCGTCAGGGGACATTTGAATGCGAGAGGAAGAGAGCCGACTCATGCTCACTGGCCAAGACTGAATGCAATACGAGTCGCATTTGATCATATGGCACCATGTCTAGGCGACCTGTAGGAGTGGATTCGAGTCCAAGTCCATGATATCGTCCCATCTCTCACGAAAAATGGTCCGATTAAACGACAGTCCGTCTAGCCCGCCGAATAATATTCCGAAGAATGGAAGGAGAAAGAAGCCGAGGCGTCCAGCAAAGTGGATTCGGCGAAGGGATTGGAGAGACGGGAGAACGAATCCGACGATGCCGCATTCGGATTAGTCCGTGGGTCGCGCAACGTGACTCGACCCAGCTCGATGTATCGGAAATTCGGAGAAATGATCTGCCGTGTGTATATGATGAGGTCTGCCATCTGCCATCGACTTCAGAACCTCCTCCAGAGCAACATCGACCACGGCATCGTCATCTCCTCTCCATATCAAGAGGCCAAACTTTTCGCCATGGTTCGCAGTTTTCGCAGTTTTCGCATCCTCTCTCTCTCTCTGGCTCACTGATTGAGAGCAGATGAACCTACGAAGATGAATCGACAAGACTGGCAAGGCGTAAATGACGTAAAAGGAGGAGAGTGAGTGCGATTGAGAAGGGAGGTAGGTATTGGAACCAAGCGCGAAAGGCGAATCCTCTCCTATGGTTTGGCGAGAAGCCTCGTTCCCTCGATCCCTTCATTCAACATCTCGCTTCCTTGGTATCTGTTGTACGAAGTAATAGTTGGGTCGAGCCCCCGGCGCCCCGAATATGCGGGCGGCCGTTCGAAGTTCGAAGATACTAAAGGTCACTGTAACTCGATGGTTCCCCAATGTGGTGGCCAGGAAAGAAAGAGCTTGAATGTCGGATGCTGCTGTCTAGTGAAGACAGTCAACGATCAATTAACCCAGCACCAAGCTGATGCCCATCTCTTCGGCCACACGGCGCCAATCCATGCAGCCTAGACCGGGATAGCCACCACCCTCAACAGCCGCCAGGTCTCTCCTGCGCCAGACTTCAAGGACGAGTTCCCACGACCTGCCCAGGTTGACCGACCCGCGGAACGCCGTATCCACGGCAGAAAAAGCCTGTCTCGCCATCCCTCGATCTCGCGGTTCGATCAACTCGCACGCCCCGACAAGCAGCGGCCACAGCAACCCGGCCCCGCTGACACTGCCGTCTCCCGGTCGTTGCATGCAAGCCGTCGTCGAAGCAGCAACGCAGTGCCACATCGCCGACTGCGCATGCCGCATTGCTGCTTCCTCACTCTGCCCCGTCCTCGTGCCTGTGCCTGTGCCTGTGCATGTGTCTGTGCCGCCCAACCGGTGGAGCATGACCAATGCGCCGTGTTTATAGGCCAGCGCCCGTCCGGCGTCACACCGGGCACGTGCGACGTCCGTCTCGGAGGCGTCGGGCGGGCCGTCCACGATGCGGTTCACGAGAGTGTACCCCGGTGGCAGTGGCGGTTCCCAGGCGGATAGGGCTTGCTCTATGGCCCGGCAGGTCGTTTCGTACTCGACCCGCAGAACGGCTGCCTTGGATGTCTGGGATGCCGTGTTGACATTGTCGAGTTCCTGTTTAAGGATGATAAGTTCGGCGAAACGGTGGAGGGTGGGGAGTAGGTCAGGGGCGGGACCAATGGCCAGAGGCGGATCCGCATAGTCGGGAGAGAGTGGGGTTGCTGGAGAGGAGGGCTGGGAACGGCGTGGGCGCGGGGTCGGGGCCGGGTAGAGAGGTGCTACGCTGGTCGCTAGCGAGTTCATGACGTCGAAGTACCGAAATGCCTGAGCGAAGGAAGGTGTCAGAAAAAGAAGGGGGGGGGGGGAGGAAAAAAGGAGACTGCAAGGTGAGCATCGAAGTCCCGAACCTGGTCGAAAAGTCTCGAGGACGAGGTGTCCACGGACGGCCTTGAGTACAATATCTGCCATGCTTGCTGGATATGCTGAGCAAGAAGATTCGAAGGACTTCTTTGAGACAGCTACATATGCGATATTGTTAGCACGTGAGAGGGAACGAACAACGGAGGAGGGGGCTCACCACTTCGTAGTACAGCAGCAGCAATAATGTGGCCAACACTTGATCCTGAGCCCAATCCTCGTCAAGCTGTGCCAGAAGCGGCAGTCCGACGAGGGCCTGGCTAAGAAATAACGCATGGTCGCAATCATTTCGGACACTCGTCCGGGCCATGTGTAGGCCGGCCAATGCGCAAGCGGCGTCCCTGACAATACCACTGCTGTAACAAAGGGGCAGGATAATTTCTGTCACGGGGCTTCCAGGGTCTCGAACGAGGTCGAGAGATACCACGTTGGCAAAGTAATTCACCAGGGCGTTGGGGTCGGGAGGTGGATTAGGTGCATGGAGATTGGGCGTCCATCCAGAAGCAACAGACGGAGTGGCACCCACCCAAATTGTGCTGCTCGTCTGGCTGCCACGAATCGTAGGGTTGGGCGCAGGGAGTGGCGAAGGCACCGGCACCGGCACCGGCATGGGCATGGGCATGGGCATCTCGTTCCAGTCAGTCAGTCCTCCGCCTGTCTCTGTTCCCACACGCTGGAGAAGTGACCATGGCATGAGATCCTCGCTGATGCCTGGACTCCAGGCCAGGGAGGAAATGGTCTCCGACTGCGTTCCACATACAGAGACGGGTAAACCGAGAGACGGATAGTCGAGCTGATAGGTGTTCTTCTCACCCGTCGCGCCGTCGTCGAAGCCCAGAATCGATGGAGACGTGGTTACGGTAGAGTCTGACATCGAACTGTCCATGGCATGCGCGCCCCAATTGTCCACGGAGGAAGAGAGGTCGCCCTCGGAACTAATGGTCGCTGCAGAGCCTTGAGGTTGCTGTGGCCCCATGTTTTCACCCGCCACCTGTGCCGCTGCACTGAAACCGTCGCGTGATGAACCTTTGGGCGCACTATGGGCCGTGGGGGAAGGGATGGTAAACTTGGTAGTGCGCTTTTTCCGGGGCCTGATCGGCTCATAGATGCATTCGACGCCGAACTGGAGGCATCGGGTACATGCTGGCCTATCCTCGGAACATTTCTTTCTCTACGCAACATGTGTTAGGGGAACTGCCTGCTCGCTGACTCGAGGCGGCGGCATCAAACCTTGTCTCGGCTAGATGGGCCATGGGTTAGAACTCAGTTGTGTCTACTGCCCAAACCAAGGGGGACGCGGACTAACCAGTATTTGCAGCCTAAGAGACGGACATTTGTCAACCTAGCAGAAAGGAAACTGGAAGCAATAGCGTTGGGGAAACTGAAACTCACCTGCTCTCGATCGAGTCTTGGTTGGTTTGGGTTGAATAGGTTTGGTGAGTAGCAAGATTTTCTCTTGGGCGGACGGGCCTGGATCTTGCGACTGGCCGCCAGAACTCGCCTTTCCCGACTCGCTTTTGTCTCCTAGGATCTCCATTGGGAGGCTCAGTCATCGGTTGAAGAGATGGGGCTGATGGGACTGGAAGAACATGGGTAGGGAGGTTATTGCACTGCAGATAGACAGGAGATCCGTGGGGAAATGCGAGGCGGAAAGATGAAGATAGACGTGCGGGAGAAGAAAAAGGTCGCATCCTTTCACTTTCGGATTCAAATTCAAGGGCGAAAGGATAAGAAACATATGACAGGGTTCCCCAACTTCTACCCACACTGTCGGTGGATGAACTGAGGAGTACAAATGCAAGAAAACATGCCTCAATTGGATGTGTGATGGGCACCGTCGTGTGAGGTCATCTTCCGGAGGGAATATCCTCGTCTTAAGGACCGACAACCGACGCCCGACGCATGGACAAGTAAGCTTATCCAGGGATCCACAAACTCCAACAACAACTTCAGGGTGTTTTCGCGCCAACTCTGCTTAAACCAGGTGGAGAGGGGGAACGCCTGGCCCGGCAGCTTGTAGGCATTGGATGCTTCTGATTGCTCGAGTCACGCTGCCGTCCCCGGACTTTCGCATGGCTGAAGCTTGGCACTGGGGAAGCTTATTCGCAACACTTTCCATGGGCCAAGACGTATGTTCATTGTTCATGTTCATTTTCTTAATCTGTCCAGTTGGGCGTTTCCTTGCTCCGGGGGGGGGAGGGGGGGTACCTCAGCTGTCGGATTTCCTGCCCTCTGATTGTTCGTCGTTTGCCGAGGATTTGGCCTCTTTCTGGAAGTGTTTGCGATTTGAACATTGACTGAATATTGCCATGGAGAGTTTCCTCCTGTTGGGCGAAGGAGTTCACGGGATTTAAAGAGG